TTCAACACATAATGGGGAAAGTTCGGCGGTTGTAGTGGGATTCAAACACACACCCGGGGTGATAAGTTGGTGACTGTACAACCGGGCCACTACTGCCCGGTGCAGAAATCTCTCGGTAGGCAATGCTTTCCATGGCACGTGGTGATTAAAGGTGGGTAGTTCACGCATCGTGTAAACCAAACGATCGTGTGAAACCAGCTGACTAGGTTCGGCAGGTCAACCTCTTGCGTTTCGTTGGGAATGCAAATGGTACAAATTAGCAGCCACCGAGGTTTATTCCGGTTTAGTCGAAATAATCGCTAACAGCTGGATTTGTTTTCATTGAGGATGAAGGAAGAATCATATTTGATCTGTGTGGCGAGTGATTTGAGGTGAGAAGCTAACTGTAATATTCACACCATCGGCTTGTGCTTGCTGAATAATTCGTTAAGCGTGCCTTTCAGTATCAGAAATACGTAGGCAGTGGCATTTGATTCAAAGGAATCGGTGTTATTTGAGGGAATCACGACCCCAATGGAATTTACTCACTAGGATATCGAGGGACTTGACGAATCCTCTCATGTAATGATTCAACCCAACATTCATGTTTGGGCATGGTGACCGAATTCTCGATCCATCTTTCTTACCCGACCGACAGAGGTCATTCGTTCATTCGCATCCATGACGCACACTCGATCAACAACGACGAACATAACGTTCCCGGGAGGGGGGAGGAGGAGGAATAATAGCTCACCCCACCCCACGGAAACATTTATCCTCGCTCTATAGCTCACTCAAAAAGTACTTTTGCTTGTTTAGGGAGAATTTATCTCATTCGAACTGGCCGGGATTTAGACAGACCCAATCCAATCGGTGACGTTTCATGGCCAAAACACCAGTCATCCGGCGGGGGTCCCAGTGTAATGCGACTGGTTAGATACTTATTTACTATATAAATATTTATTATCGAAATCGGAGTCAGAAGATGAAAGCAAGAAAGATGGACGATTTCCCGGAATTTGTTCAGTTCAGTCGTTTTCGTACATGCCTGATACCGATGTTCACGTCACTCAGCTATTCGCTAACCCTGCCCTACTGTTAAAATTCCACAATACGGTGCGGATCGAGGATAGTTGTCTATTGCCAATAGCGTTCGAGATATGGTTAAATTTTCGTTCATACAACAAAATATCTCGTCTGGAACAAGGTTGCAGATTTCCCACATGCACACGTGATAGTTCATGGACGAGGCACCATTAGATGCGCATTCTTGTATTCACCATACCGAACGTCAGCAGTTTGCTCCAACAGGTCTTGTTGATTTTTGGTCGTTGAAGGAAACCGCCGATCGCATCTTTTTGCGTACTACTCACTTGTGAGTAGCATCTCACAACACTCCTCCCCCGGCGGAAGGTATCTCTGCATGCCTTGATTCTTGGACGAATGATTCTTGGATTGTGCTCGCGTTTGTCTCCGATTTTCGGCGTTTGGCGGTGTCATGTCTGATTTTGTGTGGTTGGATTCTGGAATTTCTTTTGTGGATTTACGGCATGTGCTGTACATTTCCTCGTGCCATGTTGCGAGATCGTTCCGATGTACACGACGGATTTCTTTCATCCGTTGAATTTTGTACACAGAATGACGTTGTTCAACTATGTATGGACCTTACCATTTGGGACTTAACTTCCTCGAGCCAGGACCGCTCGCGAATCCCCCAACATGCTGCTTATACTTTACTTTAGATGCAACCGGAAGCACACTGGCCGTCCGTTTAGTGTGCATCCTAGACTTGCGCATTGTACCCTCCTGCGCATTCGTCAGGTTATTCCGGGCTTCACATCTTGTCTGTTGAATTTGTTGCAGAGATAAATCATTTCGCAGCCAAATGCCAACGTCGAGATCCACTGGCAGCTTCTGAATACTTCCGTACTTCAGTTGAAATTGTGTATGTTTGTTACTGGTGTGCGGGGTCGAGCGGTAAGCCAAAGGTAGGGAAGGTAGTGCCGACTCCCAATTCCCTCCTTTCGCTGCCAGCGATTTTTTGATTGTTCTGTTATTGCGTTCGGTGAGGCCGTTGGTTTGTGGGTGATAGGCTGTTGTGCGTAGCTTTTTGATGCCTAATTTCTGTAAGCACGTGCGAAATCGATCACTCTCAAAGTACGGACCTTGATCTTTCAGGATGGCTTGTGGTACACCATGATTCGCCACAATGTGCTCCATCACAACTCTGCTTATCATAGCGGCTTTTTGATCCGCGACCCGTACGGCTTCAATCCAGCGCATGAAGTGCCCTGTCATTACAACGATGTCCTCTAGGGTACATCGGAAATGGACCTATGAGGTCGATGGACCATAATTCACCGATCTCGGATACTGGTACTGACTGAATTGGACATTGTGACGGGCGGGAGTTTGACTTGAAAAGTTGGCAATTTTCACACACCAGCACCTGGTTTGTAACATCAGCCTGCATATTTGGCCAATATGCCCGCTGTCGAAGCAGATCGTAGGTCCAAGTGCATCCAGTTTGTGCCAGTTCATGACTTTATTTGATAAGAATTTGGCGCAGCTGTTTCGGAATGACGACCACTGAGCATCTTCTTCCTGGGTGTCGTTTCACTAAAATTTCAGCGGCATTCAAATAAAGCTGCTTCCATACGGATTTCCATGACTTCATGTGTGTACTATTTTGAATTTTTCAGTATTGCTGGCGTTATGAGATTGCTTCGATCACTTTGCGGAGTTCTTGATCCCTGAACTGTTCCTTTACTCATTCGTGCGGGTCTTGTCCCGCTGCCAGCATACTGATAGTGAAGGAATCTGCTTCCTCCTGATGAGACAAAATATCCGCCATACGGTTTTCGGCACCTGCAACATGATTGATCGTGAAGTCGTACTCCTGAAGGTGAAGCGCCCACAGGGCTAGTTTTCCTCTCGCGTTCTTGGCGATTTTAATCCACTCCAGCGGCTTGTGGTCTGTTTCTATATGGGACCTTTGACCCAGAAGGTATAATCGCCACTTATCTACGGTCTAAACGATAGGAAGACATTCTTTTTCCGTGGTGGAATATTTCCTTTCCGTTGCGGTAAGGACCCTGCTTGCGTATTCTACCACTCCACTTGCTTGTTTGAGTACAGCTCCCACTCTCACGGCACTGGCAACCGTTACCACTGTGAAGCGCTCGCCAATCACCGGCAACTTCAGTGTTAGGTGTTGTTCGGTCATGATCCTTTGGAGTTCATCGAAAGCCTTCCGGGCCTCTGATGTCCATCGGAAGCGATATTCTTTCGTGAGCACGGCGTATAACGGTTCAGCGATATTCGTAAAGTTTATGACGAACCGGCCATAGTATGCGGTATAGCCCAGAAACCGTCTTAAAGTTCTTTTCGATGTTGGGCGCGCAAACTTCTTTAACCTGAGGATCTTCTCAGGAAGTGACCTCACTTCTCCGTTTCCAACCTTGTGCCCGAGTGAAGTCACCGTTGGCTTCCCGATTTCGGACTTCGATTCATTAATCCGAAGACCAGATTCTTGGATTCGTTTCAGGACAGTTTCCAAGTGGAATGTGTGTTCGGCTGTAGTTTGACTGTAGACAACAATATCGTCACCATACACCACCACGTTGGGGACACCATCGAGTAACTTCAGCATGAGGAGGCGGAATGTAGATGGTTTTCCTGGTAGTCCGAATGGCATTCGTTTGAACTGATATTGTTTATTGCCGACTGTGAACGCCGTTTTTCTTGATCGGCTCTCTTATTGGTACTGCCAATATCCCGATCGTAGGTTCTCAAATGAGAACACTTTGTCGCTTTGCATTTGGTCAAAAACTTCTGCCATAGTCGGGACTGGGATTGGCTTGTTTATACTCACAGTGTTTACTTGGTGGAAATCCACACAGAACCGAAATTTACGGTTGGGCTTTTTGACAAGCAACACGGGCGAGTTATACGGACTTCGAGTTTCTTCGATGATCCCTTCCTTTAACATTTGTCCGACCTGTCGCTTGACTTCATCCTCCAAGTGTAGTGAAATTCGACGTGAAACATCGGCTCGAAATTTTCCTGCCTTTATTGGAATTTCGTGTTCGACCCAGTTACAGAACCCGTACTCGTCATCATCGCCTGTGAACAGGTTGGAGTATCGCTGCACCACTGACCGAAATGAAGGAGACACATTCGTGTGAGTTGTTTTTGTACTTACGGTTGCCAACCTCTTCCTTTTGGAGCGTAACAGCGGGATCGCACCGAATTTGGTAACAAGCTGTTCGTTGTTCAGATCAACCACGGCCCTTAAGCTGCGTAAGATGTCTGCCCCATTATAGTCTGGCTCGTGTCTTTTGTTACGACAAATGAGTGATTGATTATACTGTTTCCAACACGGACCGTTCGTTTGGCTATTCCGTCTGCCTTCAACTGGCAACCCCCGGCTGTTTTCGCAGCTGTATTCCACGTTCCCAGGAGCTCGTTTGGTTGGGGTCTAGCCAAAGACACTGCCACACCTGTATCGATCAAGCATAGTACTCTGTGCCCCTCGATCTCCAACTTGGCCTGTACTGCCCCGCGACCTACTGTTCCAATGATTGCTTTGTTCAAGAGAAGACGCGTGTACGAAAAACGATCGTGTATTTGAAGAGAATTTATTATATTTCAGGGCAATTTCGTCGTCAATGACCCCGACTGCCACAATGAAAACATACATTTGTGTTTTTCTTCCGTCCGAAATTTATTTAAGTGCTGCCACTTCATCCGTCAGTCTGTCCAATGTGGCCTTCACGTCATCCGGTGGCTCATCATTATGGACTTCCCGCGTTCGCACCACGGCAATTTCCTGACAGATGAACTGCCTCACAATTTCGGTTAGCGTCATTACGTCCATGGTACGTGCCACATTGATGAGTTTCGCTTTCTCGCGTGTCTTTCGGGAGGCTCTCTGTGAAACGGTGAAGGAGTAGTTCCGAGCGCGCATTCTCATCCAATGTCGGTAGTGTGCGATCCAATAGCCCACGCAGAGCCACGGCATGCGAAAGTGGGTCCACACCGACTCCGAGCTGCGCCGTCTTGAAGCGACGGAACGCCTCCTGGCGGTCGGTCGGGGTGTCAAATCCCGCGATCAGGGCGTCCTTCGCGGCGGCCCACTCCATCTTCTCCGGGCCTCTTCGAGCCGCGTTCAACACTGCCCGTGCACGGCCCTTGAGAAGCGCTCGGAGGGCCGTCAACAGACGATGTTGCCGGTTTAATCTAAGTCACACAGCTTTTCCCCAACTACCCATCCAATACCAGCATTTTGGAGACCACTCAGGGTGTTCTCCAGTGTTTCGTGTGAGACTAAATTGAACAGAAACACCGTCTTCGATGTCGAACGAGCCACCTAGTTAGTTAGGGACTGATACTCTGCCAGAAACATGTACGTACAGTTACTTTAGTAAGTCGAAATACTTCCGAGACATTTCTTTACGATGTACAGAGCCTCGCGATCAACCGAGTCAAAAGATTTTTTTAGATCCAGGAACAATGCTATCATTGATCGACTGTATGCGTGACGCAACGTAACACTGACAGTTTGCCTAGTGGCAGGCCACCTACACTGTTCATTGATATACCCCACTCAACAGTCAGGCCGTTACTCATAATCGTGAATAGTTTGTGCACCTTTCATCACAGATTTCAATCTACAAACATCCCGTTCCCCAAGTGAACTTGTAAAAAGAACACTGCGCAATTTCGCTGTCAGTTTATGGTAGCGGGTGGTGGTTTGGTCGCTATCACTGGCGTTCTTTTGACTCTATGATCCACCACCGTCACCGAACTTTTTTAGTAGGCAGCTTTGGTCTCGCCCGGTTCAATTCCATGCCTACTCTAGCGGGGCCTTATGTGGTTCGCCATACAAATTGTGCGACAATACCGTTTTTAAGATTTCAATCTGCCAAACAGATTTTCTCATCAACTGTGATTCGCCAATCTCCATCACCGCGTGTCCGTCGTAACAACTTTAACTTTCTTTTGATACAGCTATATTCTCGCTCACCAGTTTCTGCGGACTGTCTCGAAGCTTTTCGTGAGCTGACTTTGCAGACGCCCACTGTTTTGAACATACGCAGTAAGGATTTGTCATTTTTAGCTCCATAGGGCTACTGACTCGTTCATATGCAAAAACAAATTCCCCTGTCGAGTGTATTGCTCGTCTGATCTGACCCTATTGTTCACCTACACAACGTTGCAGCGGACCCTGCTCTGACTTAAAGCGGGTACACGAACGGGGGGTTAGGCAAGCGATAATAGGCTAACCGAGTTTGGTCGAGGATCGGGGTGAAAAGTGCGTCAAAACTACTGTGATCAGATTCAACGGAGGTGGCCCAATCGGACATGCAATTTCTTACTGAACCAGCTAACAACTATACGGTTGATTTTCAACAACGTTCAGGTTGAATAGGAGCCCCACGCCGCGGTCAGTTGAGAGCTATATCCGAAGTTCATAATGATCAGGAACGTACGGTGTTCCATTTAGTGCGTTCCCCACTATTTCGTCCGCGACGAAATTGACTAGGTGTGGCAGAATAGGGGACCCTTGAACATGCTGCTAGTTACAAAAGAACCTATTCAGCTCGGCGTAGACCCTTACGCTGCCAGAAGTATGCAAGTAGAGTGACCTCAGTGTGTTCACACACTTCTGCGGCATTCCTTTGTGAACGGGCGAATCTCGATTCCAATAGACGAGAGTGTGGTTGGCTCCTAACCAGCTGAACTGTTAACTGAATTACTCCGTCCACCTGACAAGTCGTTGTTCCCTATTGTGAATAGCTTGCCCACCTTTGCCGCTGATTGTTTCACAAATTGTGGTTAGCCGACCCTCCATGTTGGGTATCGGTTGGAATAGTCTTGACTATTTTCTGATGCAGTTGCTAATTCAATTTCACTAGCTACTGTTACCCATCATTTTTCACGGTCTTTCTTGAGGCTCTTCGGCAGAGGCTACTTACCTCTGCTTTAAACCTCGGTCGGTCGGGATCTGCTGCTTTTTATCCATTAGGGCTACTGACTCGTCAAATATCCACTACCTCCAACGGGTTACTGCTTCAGGTCCACAGACAACCTTCAGTTCGAAGTGCATTGTTCGTCTAATCTGATTTCATTGTTTATCCACAGTGCTACGCAGCAGCGCGTTTGGCTCCTGTCCTAGTTCTGATTCAAAGCGGACACGAACGGTTGGGTCAGATAAGCGATGATCTGCCAACCGTGTTTCGTGGGATTTTCTACGGCCAGTGAGTCAAACAGTGAACTGCATCAAAACTATTGCGTGATCAGATTTCAAGCAGGTGGTTTAATCGAACCTGCAAATTTGCACTGATCCACGCCAACGCTATGTGGTCGGTCATAGTAAGCGTACCAGTTTAAATGGAGCGCACATTGTCGTCCGTCGAGAGCTGTGGCGGAAGTTGGTACTGGATAAGGACACATGATGGTCAGCGCAGAACTGAAGTCGATCGCCGTTATCTGTTCGCTCGCAAAATCCATTTGATTTGATTTGACGCATCGGGTCCATTTTTGAGTACAGTGCCTACTTCACGCTGACCAGCCCACCGTAAGTGACAAAATCGTCAGCGTCTTTTTTGTATACTTGGAGACAATTGAACTGAATATTGAATAAGGAAGGCGTTTGTCCAAATATCTTCTTTACCGTTTTGTCCGTATCGGTGAAATACACTGTTCGTGGTTCTGCCGGAACCATGAGGTTAGAGTAACGGACATGTTCTGCCGGACCCAGTTTGCGTAACAGAAAACGAACTCGTGTGTCTTCATCCTAGGAGCCAAGCTCGATATGTCCTCATAACATTTACACCATGATGCGAGGGAGACACCAGCACCAGGATCATAGTGAAAATCTGGTATATTGCGGCGCATGAATCAGTAGGGGATTTGATAATCCCGTACCAGCCAGGCGAGCAGTCAGCAACTTCATTAGGAGTAATTAAGCGTGCATCATGGCCTTGACGTCATCCGCGTTGGGGTCCTGCCAATCCATTGGGGTTTCCCGGCGTGGGTTCGAATCCCGTCCACGTCGCCAAATTATGTTTTGTGCCGTGTATATCCGTTGCCCACTATTAGGTCGCACAGCACTATATCCAAGATGCATATCACAAGTGCAAAGAACACAAGATACAGCAGTCACAATAGTAGCACACGGGAACAGCGGACTAGCACCAAGTCCGTGATCGGATGATAGTTCTAGGAGCAGAAGCTACCTAGGCGAAACAAAGGACGCACGGTCGGCTATCGATCTCTTAGGCCTCCCAAAACGCGAGAGAGAATACATGGCTTCAGCAGCACGGGATTTTAATGGCGGTGAGCACAAGTCACGAGTCAATTTACAAGTTTTACTCTGCTGCTTATGTGACTGAAAATAACATTGATCAATGCAAGAAAACGAATGTACCAATGAAATACACAGTGAGCAATGTTCAACCGGCCATAGGCTACGGATCAGACGGACGGAGAGAGTGAATATTGCCGTGCTACGCAATATTATTGATTTATCCCCGCGAGATTAGTATTGATCCGCAATGACCCTAAGTTGGGTGGAATGTGTTGTAAAATTGTTTTATTTTGTCCACAAAATTACCAAGCGTGCAGTCGGTCTTATCGTGGGACAAATGGCATTGATCTTCGTCCCAACAGCCAAAACCGCCTAATCAAAATGCAGGATTAATGGTTGTAAAAACTGTAGTAGAGGATCAATTGCGTCAATCGATTACTGATCCCTTAAAACACCAACACGAAACGAACCCATAAACCTGAAGGACCAACAAAATGAATTTCGTATGATCTCTACATAATCACATTCTATGCGTGATACGATGTTTTAGCCTGACAATAACTTTTATGTGTAGTTCGTTGACCCACCACGTCGAAGAGCAGTCTCCTCGGGATTAGTGGGAGTAATAGCAATGGGACAATTCGCTTAGGAGCAAACCAATTTCAGAGGATGGCTAGAACCGAACGATTATGAGCCCACAAACCAAAAAAGAGGCGCCGGAATCACACTCATACCTCATCGGTCCTAGCAGTAGTCACGTGCTTGATGGGGTATCAAGGTGCACCCCGTAACCTTGTAGATTTTACCCCGTCCAAAGAACGTATGACCCAATGGACTGCGTTCTTCACACACTGTCTTTCTGCATAGAGTGGCTCAGGTTCGGCACGCATTCTAGACTGAAGCAATGAACTAGTTACAGTACCACGTATAACCTAGCGGGGTTTTATTTGATTTGCCACTCCAAGTCCTGGGACTTAGGTTACCGGTTTCCATGAACAACAGGTGTTCGTAATTATGGGGTTCACTCCGTTTGCTATTCACCGCACAAAATGTGCGTAGGGAAAAAGGCATCGTAAATGCCTGGATGCATATTAATGATTTACATAAACAGTAAGTGTGCTGCAGTGAACCCGTTCCGTAGTATCCATGCGTAAACTAAGAAGCATTAAGTCAAGCAGACTACACAGACGTTTTACGGCACACCGATTGGGACCAAAACATATTTCGTTTAACCTGGTCAT